GGTGTTGTTGGATTTGTGTTTTGTAGATTGGTTTTTTGTTTTTTTGTTGGGGGAGGGTGTTGTTGGATTTGTGTTTTGTTGTTGTTTGTTTTTTGTGTGTTTTTTTTTTGTTGCTGCCTTTTTTGTTAGAGGAAGGTTGTCTCTAACGAATAAACGATTAAAGAAAGAAAGAATGATTTGACTCACTGCTTAAGTCATTTCTTCAACAAGTCATCATCTCAGCATTACGTGTGTCACTGCAGTCTCATTTTTCATGGAATGTCCCCATAAATAATACTGTACTGATTATTAACGAGAATTCTAAAGATTTCCCATACGAGATGAGTAAAGCCAATTTTCCCCCTGCCTTTTCTTCTCAGCAAAATTATAAAATCTTAACTGTAAGAAAAACTCCAAATCCATTGCAGAATAAAGGTCACAAAGCTACATGATCATTCATTGCAGCGTTGCTCAACAATATTATACATCTCATCTCGTTAAAAAAAAAGATGTTCAGTTCTACTAAAGTTCCCTTACAAAGGAAAGAAATCCCAGAGACTTTATTTCTCTAAAGCAGCCTGCGTGTTTTACGTGGGTAAGTACTCGTGAACATAATGTGCCCGCCTTCTTGTGGTGACTGTGGTCGGACTACTACCGTGAGCACCCGAGGAGGAGGAGGAGGTGGACGTTGTCTCGCCTTTGTCCGCCTGTGTCCTTCTCTCCATCACGGTGGATGACGTCACGACAACTGGGCTGGACTTGCTCAAGTCCTTCTTAGAAGAAGAAGGCAGATTAGAGTAGACACTTGTGGTTTTGTCAGTCACTGTTCCCTTCTCTTCTGCAGGAGTGCCAGTTGGCAAGGTGGTGCTTGTGGTGGTGATTGTGGTGGTGGTTGTAGTGGTGGTGGTGTTGTTCTTTTTCCCTTTAGCACCAGTGTCTGTTGTTGTTCTCAAGTTGTTGCCCTGACTCTGACTGGCTTCAGGCTGCTCGCTTGTAGCAAGGGTCTGCAGAGGCTCAGACAGACCGTCGTCTTGCCCCTCACGGTTTGAGGAACTTATTGAAGAAGAAGAAGAAAGCGGGCGAGACCTCGTCCTTGGTGACAGAATGGACCGGATAAAGCTACCACCGCTTCCAGATGCCTTAGAACTATTTCTTTCTTTCTTCTGTTTTTGAGTCGGAGAAAAAGCGCTCCAAAGTTTAGGCATCTCGGAACAGTTTCGAGATTTTCCTGAAGACGTAGGTGTCTCTAAATGTCTGTTTCTCTCTCTGCCACTACTGGGTGATCCCCTGCTGTTTCCTAGCCTGTCGTTTGTGTTCTGTCTGGTGCTCACAGAGGTCGTGGCACAGGCGCGGCAACTACACCGGCCTTGACCTTCTTGGCACGTGTCAGAGCTGAGCAGCTGGGACAGGCAGTGTGGGAGGCTGGAGGAGGAGGAGGAGGAGGAGGAGGAGGAGGAGCAGGAGGATGAGGAGGAGGGCTGGGAGGACTTTGGTTCTGGTGCACTTCGAGAGCTGTTCTGGCAGCTGGTTGTCGTGGTGACTTGAGAAGTACACTGTGAGGTCAGCCCTTGAGAGACTTCGTGACACGTCTTCTCTTTGTCCTGACTTTCGCGGGAACTGCTGTCGGCCTCCGAGACTGTGGGGTCCAGCACGTCTGTGTCTACCCAGGCAGTCAAAACAGGGGGCGTTGACATAGACCCATCAACGGCTGAATTGTTCAAATCAGTTTCATCAGCTGAGGGAAGGCAAAAAGCATCGTCTTCGGTTTGAAATGGACTCTGAAGACGAGTATCTCCAGAACTAGACAAAAGACCACTGCTTCTAGACTTACTGTTACTAAATCCATCCCCTAAAACCGGGGCTCTGTCACTACAACCTACTGTCTCAGTTGTCACGCAGTTTTGTTCAGTTAGAGAAGGCAGATGGTCGTGGCTGACAGTTGCATCAGCAGCAGCAGCAGCAGTAGCAGAACCGTCGCTGGTATTCGTCTTGTCCTCGCTATGAGAGCGGCCTACTCCTCCATGCTGTAGGCAATCTTTCTGCTCGTTGTTTACCACAGGTCCAACATCCGTTCTTTGAGAACTAACTCTGGCGCCATCAGCATCGAATCCACACTCTATGGTGAGACTTTCTGCAGCGGGTCCCGTCGTCAGTGGGTCATCTCTGTAGCCAGTGCATGACAACGATGGGACTTGGTCGTTTCTTTTCCTAACCACGCTCGTGGGGCTCAGTATTCCATTGTCACTTTGGTACGCGCGAGACCGATTTGTGAACGCTGTTGAGGGTTGAGGCAACTGGACGTCACTGTCATGGGGGGAGACATGAGAGAGCAGCTCGCTTGGAGTCACCTCTGACGTGAGGGTGGAGCCCTCTGGTGGGACTTTGGAGCTCATAGCACTACCATCACTGCCACACCCCTCTGGTGGGACGTTAGAGATCACAGCACTACCATCACTGCCACACCCCTCTGGTGGGACGTTAGAGCTCACAGCACTACCATCACTGCCACATCTCTCTGGTGGGACTTTGGAGCTCACAGCACTACCATCACTGCCGCATCCCTCTGGTGGGACTTTGGAGCTCACAGAACCATCACCACTGCCGCATCCCTCTGCCTGAGTGTCGATGGTACAGGATACTGCACTACTTTGATCACACACGCTAGCTGCAGACATGGACAAGGCAGAAATAACATGTCCAGCAGCGTCTAGCCTGGATGCCTGGACAGTAATATCTTTGTTGGCTTCCCTCGGCTCAGCCCTCTCAATACATGCATTATGTTCTGCCTTGTTGATCGGGCCAGTCAAAAGGGTGGACACGACAGGTGTGGAGTTGTCTACTCTAGATACACCGAGACATGACGTGTCACTTGATGTATCACTGCGTACAGGAGATGACGTGACTCGTGACGTCAGCACACCCGGACCACTGTGTGGCCACGTCGGGTTGATGATCATGCTCGAGGAAAAACTAGCGGGCAAAGACAGTGGACGTTTTCCTGGGTTTGTGATGTTGATTCCAGACGCTGCACTAGCCGCCCCTACAGAACATGTTCTGGGTTCATTATCCCCGTGGAGTAGATCAGAAGAAGTAGAGGAGTCAGACAGAACGGCTACGGGTAGACAGGAGACGACGTTGATCCCAGTGGAGCAACTGCCGACTTGCGGGTGTCCTGTAGAACCAAGAGCAGATGTGCCGACCTGCAAGTGTCCTGTGGTAGAACCAACAACAGATGTGGCGACCTGCGGGTGTCCTGGAGAACCAACAGCACAGATTGCAGGAGCGCAGGGGACGCTGGAGGCTGACGATCTGGTGTTGGAGGAACTTGCATCGGGCAAAGCTGAACCGTCGAGAAGCTGGTTCCTTTTCAACATTTCTGCGTCACTACTGCTGTTAGATGAAGACGCCGGTGTTGTAGCACTGTTGTTACTAGAGGTCTCTGTGTTCGTACAGCCGGACACAGAGGTAGAGGGGGCGGGCGTGGTGGGGGTCGAGGAATGACCAGTGACGGATGGACCGGCCAAAGTCCTGATTGTGGGGCTTGGCGTACTATTTCTCCGCACACCGATAGTTGAACCAGGGGTGTCGGGCGTATGCGGAGTTGTACACACGTTGCCGTCGCTACTACCATTACCATCACCTTCACCACCACCACT